GATTTCGCAAAGCGTGCGTTTCCTTTAAACGTAGAATAGCTCGTTATATCGCAAGTGTACCGTTATAAAAGTTAACATAGAAATATTTTCAATAAAATGTCATGGTCCACCGCGCGCTTACATATTGTATTGGAAATTTCTCACGTCGATGGACACGCCTTAACACGGGCATAATATGAAATAAATATATCTTAACTATGTAGAAAATATTCAAAATTATAGCCACGCGCACATGAGGTGAATAGTAATTCATTGGCTACTTTCTATGAAACTACAAAATGAAAACACGATCAGTTTTACATACAAGGCGGATTCTCTTTCAACGTTTTAATTACCGCAGTGTCGGCATCTCTGATTTTCTTCTATCATTCGTTATTATTTCACAACGTAAAACCCTCTTTAAGAAAAGAAGAGACATTGCTAAAGGCAATAAGCTATTAAAAAACATATATAATTTTAAAAATATTTTGATATGAAATTTTTTTCTTAAATCATTTATAAAGGGTTGAAGTTTAAATTAAGTTTCATTAATCGAAAATCTCATGCGAAAAGAGACCGCTTCGTGTCAGGAACGAATCAGCACACTTTCCCATACACGTCCATAATTCCGTATGCGGCGTTCGCTCTCGTCGAGAGGGAGGAACCGGTGTTACGGCAATTAATTCGAGTCCGATCAGTGCGCTCCTCTTTTCCCGCCCGAGTTCTCATCTCCGACCGTCGTTGAGAGACGACGCGCGCTATTTCCGTGAACCAAATACGGCGTTCGGTCAAAGACGAGGAACAGAGAGTTGCCGACGCGATCACGCAGCGGCACGAACGATTGATGAACAGTGTCGGACTGATTTTCTTTCGGATCCTTGACGTTCAACTTTAATTTAAAGAGGATAACAATTGTACGATGAAAAAACTCAATTACGTGCACCGACGAACGTTTTGGTTTAATTTTGCAAACAAAAATGCAACATGGCAATCTTATTATGGTATATAAAAATGTTTTATACGTTTATGGTATATTTTTAATTTATTTAAAAACAAATTTCATTTTTCTCTACTTATTATAACTCAGTCTTTTTTCTGTTTTTTATTTATATGTTCATTTTTAATTCTTTGATCTTCTTTATTTTGGGGGAAAAGACTTTTTTTATTTTATGATACTAATAATGAGAAGAATAGAAAGGAGATGAGGAGGAGGAGGTTTGCACGAGCCTCCACGGATCATCAAAGTAGAACGCGTAATAACGGAATGCACGACGAGATTTTCGCTTCGGGCGATCACCGTGATTATTATTGTCGTGCGTGTTTTCTAGATTTTTTCTCTCGTTCTCCTCCTCCGACAACAAAGCGTGATAATTTTATGGCGATCGAAAGGCGCTGCCACTCGCTCGAGGTGAACCACCGATCAATGTTAAACGAGAGAGACTACTTCTCCTTTATAGACGAATAGATTCGCATGTATCAATCACGTGTATCGATCATTTGAAATTAGAACGGCCAAGAACATTCTATAACTTGTAGGCAAAAAATGAATATCTTACGTCTATATAGATACATATGTAACAATTGCAATCTTATTGTGTGAAAGAGATTATTGTCGTACACTATAACTAGGTTTTTATAACAGAGTTATCCATTAAGAGACACGACATTAAGAAGCAATGTCTAAGACTTGTTCGAAATATTATCATAAGATCTTACGAAATAGAATATTCTCATTTAGCAATGCTGATGAGGCAACTCTGAATAATATATATGGATCTCCTCCCCTGTACGACCGTCCGTAACGTGAAAGCGCTCGATGGAAGTACTTCGATCGAACAATTAAACAATTGTCAGGACCGCCGACCCACTTCCTGGTCAGGACACGTCGTCCTTCCTTATGCGTGCCACTGTACGGAACGCACTTTCGATCTATTAAATGTCTGTGGCAATCATCCAGATTAAAATCGGCCGATCGCGTGCTTGAGCTTATTTGGCAAAATAATGATCAAATATAGCGTATGGTACTGCATCCCAACGGAAATCCAATAAAAGAAAAGGGAGAAGAATGAACAGATGCAGACAGAATGCTACCGGTATAAATGTGTGGTATGCTCGGTAAAAATAATATAAATTATCTATAATAATTTATTCGATTATCTCTTTTTTATTATAAATTCTTTCTGTATAGACTCATACGAAATTATCAATAATAAAAAAGAAATAAAGTTAGATTTAGCCTAAAAACTACGCGGGCATACAACACTTTCATTGATTTTTCAAATTATATTATCGAAACAATCGAAATAAATATATTTAATATTTAGTTTGAAGATATAATTGCTATATTATCGGATTCTAAATTTATTCTGACCTCTCTGTGTGCTTTAGATGCACATCGGGTAAGATGCTAACGCGCCTCCAGTCGTAAACATATCAACGTGGCGCTTACGGGAAAATTATTCCAATTAATAATTAATCAGTTCGATAATGTTGTCTCGCGTTATCGCCCGCGAGCCGCTACTTGTTTTTCTTTATTACCACTTGCCGATGATAGATGAATCGATCCGGGCGAAACGCGTTAAACTACCCATTACCACTACGCGTTCCTGATCACATCGCGCGCATGCGGTTAATAAGATAATAAGTACCACGTGGGGATGAATAATCGCGATTGGGCGCCATTGCGCCGCCGGTCCTAGCACACGGTATCCCGCGAAGAGGGAGCCCGTTATCATTATCCGTACGTCGCGAGGCGGCGATTAACCGTAGCAATAAGGAAGTGCCTACGTTACGGATCGACCGCCAGGCTCTTTTATGGTTTTCGTTGCGCCAGCATAACCAAAGTATGCACTTAGAGGACGAATCGTTGATTAATAAACCGACGATTTGATCGGCGTTTCACAACGGTACCCCGTCGACGGGGATTCAACGTCGGGATGCGCGTCCGTTTCGACAAACCATGGTAGCGAGAGACGCCGTTTCCTTTCACGAACGAAATCCATCGAAGGACCATGGTTATCGGCGGATCAAAATTATAATACGTGACGTTAAGTAGCGGTTTCGTCAAAGTGAAAGTCCAGTGGCGTGGTGACGATCGTGTATATGACTTCGCGTACATCGCGGCACACGGAGCGTGCACGCATCCCGTATCTAATTATCGAGGAATGCTTTGTGCGTGTAGGAAGCCGCGCGCCTCAACCGCGTTCGGACTTAACGACTCGGTGCAAGAAGGAGAATCGAGAAAAGCATGTGAGATTGAGCGGTACTATTTACACGATATGTTTTATACGATTTCTCGATCAATTTTTACGCTAAATATATTTTGCTCTTTTTATTTTGCTTCTTTTAATACTTTGTTTTTGAAATGTTATTTAAAATAATAATTGATATAAAATATAAATATTTCAAGATAAATGTGTGTGTGTGTGTGTGTATAATTAAAAAATTAATCCTTTTTTGCTCTCGCAAACTGATTAGTTTGTAAAAAAAAGTAAAAGAAAATTTTTAAAAGAATATATGGATTCTGACAACATATCGATTGAACCTTTCTCGCGATATTACCGCTTCCTAGATTGTTTATCGACTCGCACGATTCCTACATCACATTATCGATTATACTCGGATGCGTTAGTAAATGCACGTCAATCACGTTCTCGGACTTCGTCGTCATTATGAAAATAGCGAGTGTAATGCGTCCGAGAGGCACAAGATTGCGTTCACCGATCTCCATGGCACCTAATACCATGGGGAAAACGCGTTATCACATGTTTGCTTTAGGCATCTCTCAGAATCAGTGACTGGATCACTCGATCAGCTAACATTGCCAGAGAAAACGCATCGAGTGTAATTTAAAATTTTAAATACTTTCACATAATTAGATCTACATGTTCCTAAACAATTTCATTCGGACAAAATTGAACCTATATTCAATTTAAAAAATCTATTTTTGAGAATATAATATTTTATACAAATAATGATAGAGATATTGAGAAATAAAATACATCTCTCTCTCTCTCTATGTATATAATAAATTATAAATAAATGCAGCCTTTCTCGACATGGAAAGAGCTGAATTCTCTTGATAGTGCTAACAAAGCCTCGTCGTATTTGCGAAGGACGAAAGAATAACAAGCCGCCGGGTCAGATCGACGCACCGCGAAAGATCGATGAGGGATCGAACGTCAAGTCGAGAGATTGCGTCAACGACCAGGTATACGCGCTGCGATTTTCAAAACGAAAGCTCATTCGTAGAAGCGAGAATAGGGAGCCCTTTGTGCGACTCCCCTTTGTCGATCAAGGGAAGGCTGACTTGCTGAATTCAATGGACGAATCGCGCTCGGCGAAAAGTGGCCACGTGCGTCTCAGAGGGAGGTGAATCGCGTATATACGAGATGCGGCATAAGCGCACCGCGTGCATTAACTCCGGCGTAATCGTTGGGGGGAGACGGGAGAGCGTACCATGTACGGCGGGCTTTCATGCATGCGGAATAACAAGCCGGTACACCGACAATCTTTTTCTGGTTCAAGGCCACAGTGGCCGTCATCAGCCCTTAAGCAACATTCACAACGTGCTAATTTAAATCAGCATTAATTTAAATCATTTTTTTAAACAGTCTTATCTTATTTGGATAAGGTGAATAATTATTGTGTATTATGTTACTATTGTATATATATAAACTCTCTTGCAAAATGATAAAAATGATACCTATATTTTCTTTTGATTTTTAACTATAAAATTAAACAACTACTGATATCATTTTGTTCCTATTCTCTCTATAGTAGATAAATATATTATACATATTACATATTTAAGTATATCTCGTGTATCAGAAATATGAAACTATAACTTTGTTAACCGCAATAATTTTTCTGACTCATTTATGCTGATACTAGCATCCAAGACTAATGTCGATCGAATAAGCTGATTTCGATTATGGATTAATCAAAACAGATCGCAAACGAAGAAAATTTATGGAACTTGTTGAATGGCTCGCAGACATATTAATTTGATCAAGACTCACCTCGTGCGCCTGATCCTCGATGCTCCGTAGAACCGCGAGATTGCGAATAGTCGCGCGTCGCGACTCGAACGAAGACTCCAGTCTGGTGGCGGCTTTACCCACCTCTTCCACCAATCTGCGGGCTCGTTTCATCGACAATCTGGAAAAATAAAAAAAAAAAAACTCGTTACACACCGTTAAAAATTCAAATTCATAGCCATCCCCTCTCGTATATGAAATGTTGAAACCTAACTCGCGAGTCCGCGAAGGTTAAACCGCAAATCAGAACTGAGTGCGTATCGACTACCGCATTTCCTTATCTTCGCTTTAAAATATCCTTGGTCAATATATACTTCATAAAAATGCAAAAATGCAAAATATGATATATACATTATCAACAAGTTCGCCTTACGAAACTGGCAATCGTCTCTTTTTCAAATTCATGCGATCTTAATTAACGGCAAAAATTATTCGCAAAAAGAAATCAATTATATTACTGCAAATATGATCATTAGATTTAAGACACTATATGTAATACACGATATTGACTATTGATTAATACAAAGGAAGCAAAAATTAAACATCAATATTTTCGTTTAAAAGAAAATTAAAATAATAAAAAAATTATTTTTTGTAAAATATGATATATAAAATAATAATTTATGTAATTCACACACACATACTAAAAGAACAATGCATTTTGCGCGCTCATTATGAATATAAAATTGTTTTACCTAACGTGCTCGATGTGCAAAAGCGGGACCGCGCGTTCCTCGAGCGCGGCGATAGCCTCTTCGGCATCTCTAGACGTTCTTCTCAATGTGGGGTCCGTGAGGAGCCGACCGAGGGGCGTCAAAGTGCCAGACAGGTTTGCGCATTCCTTCAACTCCGACATTTCGAGGGCCAACCTGCGACCAGCCGATTGCCACTCCGTCATGAGGCTGTCGTACTCCTGCGGGAAATCAAAATACCAATCATGTTGAAGCGTCGATCCATCTACTTCCCGATAATATTCTCGCGATCCAACGAAATATTCTTGATCGACAACCGGTATCCGGAAGGAATGTCAGCGACGTATAAAAGTAGACATGTCTGATACGGCGATTGCGCGATTCAATGAACCGTAATCGATCAAACATTATTAATCTTACGGAGAGAGCACATTGTTTAAAGAGGTACGTAATGAATGACGCATAACTGTTGCAGAATGTAGAACAAATAATCCGAACTATCTATTATCTCGATGATTTCTTAGCTCCAATTATTCGTTCGCTCGAATCGGATCGCGTGCGCGCAAATACCAATCGCATTAGATCAACTCGCGACGAATATAGCTATGTTCGGCATAGCGATATCGATTCCCGATACGATCAATTAATTATACATACATATCTATATAACGAGATATATTAATATTGGCCGATATAACATCAAGATTATCATAAAAATTAAATTATTAATTTTCGTATGTTAAGCTGGGGATGGAATGCCGAAAAGCTTAAATGTACAGTAAAAGTGAATCGATATGACTCTACACGTGCGCGATACTAATGTCTTATTTTTGTGAAAGCGCGCCAGCAGATCGATCGGTCTTGCCGATCGATCGATTAATGCCCCGAGATTAATCCGTTGGCAATTCTATCGCGATAATGTCGTAAAATAGGTTGATCACTGCAGGAGGACGTTCAAAATTTGATATAGAATTAATTACGTAAGATGATCGTCCAGAATTCTCTTTTCTAATTCTTTTTAATTAAATTCCTTTTTTCATCCTAATTTACAACTGAGAATTTTCGATTGTCCAGTCGTATCAATTTTTCTCAAAAAAATTTTCATCGATAAACGTAAATAACTTATAATGAAAAATTGAAAATATTAATCTTTAATCGCTATATCATGTATATTGAGTTCGAATAATTTCGAGAAACCGCTATTTTAGGAATAAAAAAGAAAGAGAGAGTTAACAAATACGAAAAGTTACGAAATATAATAAATATATGTATTTGTAACATTTAATCAAAATTCAGAAAAACAATAATCGATTTTAAAAAATCTATTTAAAAAAATAGTTTTAAAAAATTCTAGTAATTATAATACAAACATGCAAATATTCTTTATCACTGATACGAAGTGTTGACAAATTGGTAATGTCGCTCAGTACCATGGTCGGACGATAAATTCTCCGACTATCATTGCGGAAGATCATCGAAGCAAGCAGATAGGCACAATTATTTCGCTCGAGCAATTTCTAACATATATTTATTCTGTCAAATCTGCCGAATCATTATCACAATATTAAGTATCACGATCTCTAAGTGGCTTTCGGTTACATGACGTTGAACGACAAGTTGCGATAATAATTTGTCGCGAGGTTTGCCTTACTAAGATATACAATATTATCCGTATTTCCACTTTCGTTCGTTAATCTTTATAAATTTATATAATATGGTGTAACAATAACTTAATTTTTTCTCGTTTGTAGATATTACATATGCAAATTTTAAAAAAGATAAATCGGCGGAGAGATTTTATCAAATATTCCAAATAAAGTATATTGTTCAAATTCAATTAACTAAATGATTTAATTGTATTAATTCACATTTGCCAATCACTATTTAAATATCGTTGATATGTATTTCAATTTTCATATGTTGACACAAATCTAGATATTCATTATAAAGGCATAATTACCTTGTAAAAAGCGATCCATTGCATCTGATCGTGATTTTCTTCTCGCCTGGAAATATATTTGGCGAGAGTTGCGCCATTCACGACGACAGTCTGAAAGGAAACGTTTATGGGTAATTATAATGTCTCAGAGTCGCTCAGTGCTCGTACTTGTGCGATCGTAAATTACATTTATCGTAAACACCGAGTTCTAGCTTTTGTATCGATATTCGTTTACGCGACGACAAAAAAGTCCTCATCACAATGGAAACCTCTCGGCAATAATGTACTAAGCGACAGCAAGTACACGTATATACGAAACGCGAATGTGCGGGCACTCGAGAAACCGGAATATAATGCACCGTGGAATCTAGACCAGCAGCGCGCAACAAGCAACCAAGAGACAAAAACAACGATTGAGCGATTGAGCATTAACTATTTTCTTGTCCGCAGAAAGTGCGTTCAATGCCGTTTAAAGAGATTCTATTGTCCGTCGAACTCACCTGGACGTTACTGAGAGGTAAGAGAGAATCGATCGGTCCATGCGTTGTCACGGCATTCCGAAACACGAGAGTCTGCGCCACGTTGATTCTGCCCTATAAAAGCAACAATTGCGCATGATTTCTATGACGATGGTGCGACAAAGTCTTTATTCGTTCGATCGTTTGAAATTGTTCTTACCTGCAGCAAAACCAACATTTTGTCCATGAACTCCAGACTCTCCTTAGAATCGCTGAGTATGAAAATAGTGAAGCCATCTTTCGTGCGTTCGGCGCTAAAAATTAAAGATATATACCAAATATTAAAGTGTGAAAAAAACATAACTCTGGATCATTAACTGCTTAATTTTATATAATCTAGTCGATCATTAAAGTAGTCGAAATTGCCATTACTATTGCAGCGTTTTACGATATGTATAAAGCGATTTTTAGAGTAAAATATTTGTTAAAAAATATTTCCAAGAAATAAAGTAACAAATTGTCATTAGCGTTGAAGCAACAGTAATATTCAGAGTTAACTCTGCGTGATGTTATCGTCATTTAAAAATAATCATCCGTCGTCTCGTATTAGCCGAGCACAGCTTGCTGCTTTCGAGTGCTTATGAAACCGTATCCCGCTGTATACGGGTGAGCATCGGATCTTATTTACAAACGTCCAATTTCCTAAGCAAATATTATCGCTCCCATCGAAGAATTCCGTGTGCACACATGAGTCATCGCGTGTCACAGTAGTACACATACGTATGGTAAAATCTCCCACGTGTGTGCTGTTACGATTTCTCCTTCCCGTCGTCATGCGCGGAATGAAGCGTATCATTCTCGTTGTATGGCAATGCTTTTGTAAATCGACGTACACACGTGCAGACCCTGCCGTCAGACCAGGCCTCGTTATGTACTTAAATCGCCGTATCGTTTCTCACGACACTCGCAATTCAGTTGACAGGTTAAGATTAAGAACAAAGCGTTTAAACAGCGGTAACAATTCTTAATGTCACTTATTGTTGAATATCCGAGTAAATTGCAAATGAAAACTACATTACATCCAATTTAAAAAACATAAATAATATTTATTTTAGAAGCCTGTATAATTAACTCGGACATGTTCACTCGAACGTGTCCAGATATAACTGTAATCAATCTTTTTAATGAAATGTTTTATCGCACGCGCTAGATGTGCATATTTAGATTATTAAGCAAATATTATAACGTCAAAAAAAAAAAAAGAACTTTTGCTGCGATAAAATTTGATCGCGTACAGGAACCAATACCTATATAGTTATAATAATCAGATCGTGTCTCCGGTAGCTGAAAATGCGGGTAAGCGCAATTTCAGCCGGCTAAACATAACCCAATTGTATCGGGTATCGCAAACGGCATTAAGTTATGACACGTGGGTAGCTGGCATTAAGCATGCAGCGTTTCTCACGCGGCTCCCGTGGCACCCACAACCCCTCTCATACTCTCGCATATACAGTAATCGTGCTCCTGCACAGCACAGTGGTGCAGCGTCTGACCGTCACAATGCCGAGCTTTGTACGCGGCCGTGTCGTACCGAGATCTATCCTAAATTGTCATCAGCGCGACAGGCTACGGAACCGCGCATACATTTCTCTGTCCCCGTACTCTATATCTTCCACTTCTGATTACGACTAGTCGACGTTTCTTCCGATTTCTCTGCCGCGGCATAATTGACACGCTCAAAATTTCTCGAGTGCGCCGAAGGGACGCCTATGTAAATGCTTCGTGACAACCTTCTCAAATTACACGTGCAACTGAACGTCGCTATTCCTCGTAAAACTCGATAGCGCAAATCATAGAGTTGACCGTGAGTCGATGTATGCGAATCTTGTTGGGGCGGTAGTGAATAAGATAAAATCAAATCGCTGTCTTGACTTCCTGTCGTTAAACGTCCTGGTATATAATCACGATGGAGGTAACCTTCGAACCCACGAAGATTATGTTTCTGGATTTCAATGCCGTGAGATAATCGCAATAACGATCTTGAATGATGTTATCATTGGAGGAGAGAGGGTTATCAAAGTCCTCAATATTTAATCTTTATTCATACACAATCGATTTTTAGTAATTATATATTTTTTAATTTTTTATATCACGCATTGTATAATATGAAAGTAATTTATAAATTATGTATTATACCTTCGAAAATATAACTTTTAATTAATATCTAAACTCGAAGTTTAATGAAAATAATATTTCCGTTTAGCTAAAAGATTGAATGATTTGATAATGTTCCTCAACCAATCATTATCTATGCATATTCGATGCATATGTAATTTGCCAGACATAGCTAAATTATTCGCGCATATTTCTCTTCTATTTTACCGTACGATGATCGATAAGAAGACGCGCACCACCCTTCCTCGTCGGAATCATCGCGCGATCTATTATATTATCGAACCGGCCGTTTTCATGTAACCGTAATGACACGTACCCGTGAAACTCAACGGCGCGGAACAGCTAGATCACAGCAGCCGTCGCTCCCCGGAACTGGCGATCGTGTTGATAAGTAAATCACTTTGATTTTGCCGAGTTAACGTCGCGCTACGTGACGCCCACACGTCCCTCGCGCGTCTCGGGTTCATCAGCGCGCGATGTAACCGTCGCGCGCGCCTGTTTGACGTATGATAAATATAGGTGTTAGCGAGAGCATGTTGCGCGATCGCGTTCCCCTCTCGTCCCCCTTTACCGATGCAATTCACCGGCAACGGAACGAGATCGATAAGACGAGGCCCAGGGGTTGCCGTGTCGACATTGATCGTCCGTTAGCGTGCCTGACAGTTAGCGCTTCGCCTAAATTACACGTCCCACACGTCGAGAGAGCTAATGAAAGGGCGCCGCACGATAGATTTTGTCGCTCGCCGGAGATCCCGTTGCGATGCCGAGCGGGCGTACGCTTCCTTTCGTAATGACGTTAGTAACGGGGACGAGATGCTATCGAGAGATAAAGAAATCTCTCTTTCTCCCTCTTTTTCAACCAACGGAAGTCAATGTCACCGTAGCGCGCATGGAACGGATCGTAGACGACTTTAATTATAATCGCTTGTTCGGTTTAATATAAGATTGTCGAGAGTTCGCAATATTTATCAATCAATCAATCGCTAATTTCCATTTCTACTTTCTAGTTAACGATTTGATGGTTTAATACCTTGTACTCGACACGGCCATATATATTCAAATATTTAAATCACTTGAGCATAAGCGTTGCATTGAATTCAAAAATGTTGAATTAAAAATTAAAAATCTTTCGAAACTATTTTTTCGAAAAAGAGTTTACTACGCTTAAATATGGTCCATAATATTTAAAGATTCGCGATGTAATACGATAATCACATAAAACGTACAAAATATCATATCGACTCTCGGAGTGCATCTGAATATTAAACGCGTGCAGGCGTGGATTTATCTGATACTGTCGGCGATCAACTACGTCACTGCCCACTCTCGGAAGAATCTCTCATGGGTGCATTAGCAACCATTGTCAACTTAGACCTCGGTAGAACCGACGCATTCGGTATCGCGCGAGTACGTCGTATGTACATTACACATCGCTCCGCGTTACAACGGGGTCTAAAATCACGACCGCGTCCTGGGTGGGCGAAGGTTGTCGAATGGAGGCTGCGTCACGACCGACTGTCGGCTCGCAATTGACACCGAGACGTGTCCCGGTGTGACGACGATAATTTCGCGATCCCGGAACCACGCGAATGTCATTTTGGCCGATGCGCTAGCAAGACGACGTCGATCGCCATCGTCATCGCCGTTCAACTCTGCTTATCACTGCTGCGACGATGATGTTATGTTGAAATTTTTTTTCCTCGCGAACTGAGAGAAAATGCCCGAGGGACACAGCCTGCGCGAATCATACCCGGAAACATCTCCTGGCGAATGAACGTGAATTATATTACGGTCTCATATGGAAGCGTCTAACTGTTATAGCTACGAGAATCCACATTTTTTCATCGTGGATTCGATCGAGCCGAAGTTCCATTCTGACGCTTAGTCACGAGCCATAAAGTTCCATGATAAGCTTCGGTAATGATAATCACCGCGATGGACAGTGCGTGGTTAGAGCTATCTTTTAAACAGTCAAACCGAGAATACCGTACATCCTCGATAAATACTCGATCTTCGAAAAAGATTTTATTACATCATATATACGGATTGCAAAAACCGAAAAAAGGGAGTAATAAAAATTATTGATTATCAAAATATATATTCGCGCATATAAATTAATAAATATTTTTCGTTCTTTTAAAAGCTGTCAGTTTCTATCAATTCATATTCACTAATATACTAACATCAAAATAAATCATACAGAAAAATCAACGTTGACAGAAGATAATAGCATATATCACATAGTGTTTAGAAAATATATATCTCATAAAAGAATTATTAAATCGAATCTCTTATTGGAACATCAATATTCGATCACCCGGTTGGTTAGTTTAAAGCGATGGTTGTAATACGTGACTGATCGCAATGATTGACTCTCGAAAGATCGAATTTCGGATCGTTGAAGGGACGAGAGATGAGCTCGTAGAAAGTCGACAAAGTCGAGCTCGACGTAAGTGGAGCATAAGTCGCCCGCGAAACGTCGGTAGGTCGTGCGAACTGACACTAAAAACGGACAAACCTATATTCGTAATAACGTTCTAATAACGTTAGTAGTGTTTTAACGAGCGCGTAAAAACCGCCGGTATTTAAACATTACGCATCGTTAATCGCTTCGCAAACGAGAATCAATTGCACAAAAATCGCGTGGCTTTTCCCGCCGAGAGCGAGAAAATGAAGCGAGCCGCGATTATACGTCTCGTTATGAAAAATGTAAACCTTCATATCCACAATAAAACGTAGACATGTAGACATGATTACATGTTATACTATATGAATAAATTTAAACGAATAAAAGACCAATGGAATATAATTTCTGTAAAAATATGTGCAATCAAAGTAAAATTTTCTTATTCCTTCCTTATTTCAAATTAATTACGCTTCTGTTAAATATCTCAAATTATATATATTATTACACATATAAAATGTCGCAAAACCGATAAATCAATCAATGAATTCATTCAGAAAAATTTCTATCATTCATCCATTAAATGTTGTTAATTAGGTATATATGAATAAGAACGAGGGCAACGCAAATTGATTACCGAAATCACGACGGTTCGTACCGAGATGCGCCTAATGAAAAAAATCGAAGTCCGAGAGACATAAAATATCCGATAGCAAAGGATAAGAAACATTGTTATACCGAGAAAGATGGGCCAGAGAAATAAGAAGGAAACGATTATAGAAAAAGCGATGACGGCACGAAAAACGAGAGGCACAGATAGCAGATACGATCTCGGAAGTAGGTCAGTAAACTGCAGCTACGAATCTTCGTCCCGGAGGGAAAAGCGAGCGCGATAACGAGGAGGGACGTTTGGCTGAAGCCATCGTTACCGTTACCACCGGCAGAAACGAAGGGTTGGCTTGTGTCGAGGTGGGAGGGAGGGCAGGAAGAGCCGACGATCACGACGGCTTCTCTAGATGGAGGGCGAGAGAGGGAGGGTAGGGTAAAAGGATTGATGCGCATCCATAACTCATGCGGAAATGCGGTCAGGTGCACAACTGGATCAACGAGAAATTCCCCGCGATCCTATCGTTCTGCGATTTGCCTCTCGTGACTTTCCGTCCTACGTGATATACACGATACATACGCGACGGATTGCCAGCCACCAGGATATTTTTTGACCTACCGTTTGCTCGCGCGATCGTCTATTAATTATTAGTCACAGTGTATATAATTGCTGTGAATACCATTGATATATGCTACTAGACTTTTCGATCTTTGCAAAAGAGTTGTTCATTACAAAAACATATCAAGCTGATTCCTGAGAGAAAAGAAAATTGTCTAGATATTTCTTTACCATGAATAATTAGTATTGTATATAAATATAAATATCGGGTATATAAATATACCGGATGAATGAAGTTTTGCTAATAAGACACCTCCGTTTCGCCACGAATACACATGAATACATTTTACATGAATACATTTTAACGCTACGGTATATTTTTACGTGAGTATCCGTCAATCAATTTCTCACCCTCTCCTCCTTAATATAACGATCAAAGCTCCGATTCAACGCTGGACAAACCGGTGATGCGAGTTAACGGTGAAAGACGACTCGAGGTCAATTTCGCCTGGCGATGCATTTGCGAATTACTTTTGGTGATTCGACCTTTCACCGCGACCAATCAAGTTATTACGCGTAACGCAAACCGCGGGAGTCTCGCTTGACGCTTAATATATTTCTCCCGTGTGAGATATAAGCTTTCAAAGCGACCACTGCAAAAGCAACTGCGGTAAAACGTGACTTGTTATTTCACACTATGACAATCTTGAATTAAGAAAGTTGTACAAGATCCGTTACACGTATATCCTCTTAAGATCATAGATTTCATCGTTTACACATCAATTTATAACTTTTAGTTAAATTATTTTATTTTGTTCTTTGTGACATTATTATTTAATAATATTCAAAATTTATTTAACATATGAAAAAATACGTATGAATAAATAGTATCTGACTCTTATTATATGCCAATAATTTTAATAACATATTTTATTTTTATTTCGAGTTTAATATTTTTTAACAAGAGTCCATAAAAAATATCAAAAATAAAAAAGATCAGAATATATAAAGTTTACAAAAAAAATATAATATATTCCGTGCAAAGAGTAAAGGCCAGTCTATATAAGTAAACGCATAAGTATATAAATGCAAACTCAGGAAGTTTAATTAAAACGGAAACGATTAGCCGATAAACCGCCTATCTTACATCTGTCGGCAAATTTCAATCGACCAATAAATATCGATACTCGCGGACATGCACGATAAGTGCACTCAATGTATGATAACGGCGTATACCACGCTTTCGCCATTTCATTCTTCGCGAAAATTAGGCGTGATTGAAACATGGCACGTATTTTTATCTATTCTACACAGGCTTGCTTTCGTCTTGAGAAAGCCAAAATTAATAATCGATAATTAAGAATGTAAACATCTGTATGTGGCGTCACTGTATTACTAAAAATACGCCGCGATATTTATTCATGTCAAAGTGTCGCTAATTTATATTCATGAGTATTCCAATATTATTCGAAAATTACGAATCGTGCACATCTGTGTTTAATTAGAGTGCATGCGCGTCCCAGATTCGTAACAAGCATCTATCTACCCATTTATTACGCGCGATTTGTCCATCGATTAAACGCTCTTCGCCTCGTCGAGACATATTACACGGTACGATAACGCGTTAAGTGTGTACATATAAAGTTTCGTATGCATTCAACGCGTATGTGGAAATTCCGGGGTCAATTTCACGCGAGGAGGTTCCCAGACGTTTCGTCGTTTCGTTCGCAATAAATCTGCATCGTCGGACTTATCCGCGAGTAATCTGCCACCGATAGCCCAGCGAGGCGCTATGTCAACGTCGCGCTTTCCCACCGCGGTCGCGCGAAAAAATGCTAATGAATCTCTCGCGCCGCGCGGCGTATAACCGACACACGCTGATTTATAACGAACGTGTTATACCGCTTAGAGAATTATTACGACACTGGCTTTCGTCGCGGATTCCACGGCGAGAGATATAGTCCACGTGCGTGGACTATTCGCTGCCGAGCGTGCCCGCCTTTCTTCCGGCAACGAAAGATATCGACGCGTAACAATGCGTATTGTGGCCACGCGAGATGATAACTCGGCCGCGATAAATTAGAAGTATCGCCACGGCGTGCTTATACCGATCCTGGGAACGTAAGAGATAAATCGTTTTTGCGAGTTTTAGTCGATCGCGAGCGCGTTTCTTATGCGCGCTATCGACATGGAAAATCATCGGTCAGCCTTGTGAATACATCTCGTTACGGCGATCTTTTCGTCGTAAATTCGTATTAATTCCCGCGTAGTGCGATCGACGAAAGCGCGCGATATTTTTCTAGGGATCCCTTCAATTATTCCCGCGGAGAGATACATCGCGAAAAGCCCGCGGGGACGGGCTATCAGCTGCGTGAGTTAAACTTCGCACCGAGAGATACCGATGAAAGGCGGTATATAGACGCGGCGCGGCGTCGATGAAATCGCGGAAATTTTCCGCCGGACTTTTTTCCATGCCGACATGCCGTATCGACGGGAGCGTCGAAGATGCCGAAAGATAGATCTCGACGGTATTTCTCTCGTCGAGAAACACCCCGGGCGTGATAGCGCGCGCTTTTCTCGCCTTCGTCCTTTCTGTCTCGTTCTCTTCCCGCCGCCTTTCTGGACGCTGTTCTCCCGTTCATTTGCGTATGAGAGTTCGTCGTTGTGCGGAAAATCATAAAGCCGCGGGATGATCGATACCGGTGCGAGATCGCCGTGGATATCGTGACGTCGTATGTTTTATGAGCTAGAAAGTATGTGAATGTGCGCGGTCAAGAGCGCCGCAAAAAAAAATCGCGAATGATGTCGCGATTATTACGTTACTGATAAGTGCAGTCAAAAAGTGCTATTTATGATGCGCATCCAAGAAGTAAAAAACCACTAATTTTTGCAAAAGATACGTGCTAAAATTCCTTCATTTCAATTCACTTTAAAGCCACTTCGTAATTTTTATGTTGAATAAACTCAAACAAATCAAGCATCATGTGGCACTAAATTCGGAAAAGATAGATCTCGTGTACATAATATTTCATTGGATCTCTATCGGTCAATTAAATTTAATTTTCAATATATTAGTTAATTAATGACTTTAATAATTAACAATTTATTGATAACTACCTTATCGAATATTAGATTCGCAATATGTATACGTTTTCCGTAATCGAATAGATGTCGATTTGTTTCGATTCGGTTCTCACGGTATCTAATCGGTGTTACACCGATGTTAGAAAGTGCTATATCGGTGGGCACGTCGTAAACGCGTTAATTGAATAGCTTACAAATGAGAGGAAGCTTCGTTAGAGAGCTTGTAGGACGAGATACGAGCAGGCCAGGAAGAACGGTGAGCCGCGATTTTGCTCCGCATCGACGATTATAGTGGGCGTGTCCGCGATTTCATGACGGCGGAAAATTATAATTATTACCGACACCGGCGTCGATCACGTTTATTTAGCGGAAAGCTCGCGCGCTCCTTCCTCTCTGTGAGCCGGCCAGGATTAATAAATTGCCAATTCGGAGTCGGATGATTTCAGTTATTATCGACTACAACGGCCTCGTTGAGGAGCACAGATGCCGTCGTAATAAATGGGTGTCTCGCGCCGGCACGCCGCGGCCGTAAAGTGTGAATTCTTCTCCGCGGGTTAAAAACGCCCTTTCGCAAAAAATTATCGCGGGCCGCGCTAATCGAATTCATAAATTATGGCACGGTCCAATGGGCGCGCACGCGCGTGCGACTGATCTCGCGATATAATCCAGCTGATTTATCGATATCCCGCGACTCCGTAGGGTGATTTCGACGTTCTCCGAGGTTGATGCATTATCCGAATGTTATATGACGGGAGAGATACGTACCTGGGTAGACGCGCGAGGTAGAGCAGAAAAGCCGATGTCTCTCTAACGGAGAGGTCTTCCCTTGTGGATACGTTGTCCTCGAATTCGATAACCGGTCTTCCGACGACGTCTATGTATCCTGCAATGATAAATAAAACAGTCTTGGTTAATGTCTCATTTAATGTTTAATGTAGAAAGTTTATCGAATATATCAATTTCTCCTTGCGTGAAGAAATTTTAAAATTGTTTTCTGCGCACATATAATATTGAAACTATATCAAAATTCAATTTGCCTCTCTAAAGAGATGTAAAAGTTATAATGCTTTGGAAGTTGATTTGTTCGCACATATGGTATTATTTCCTTGCATATTTTAATTTGTGTTCCAAGTAGATACATGCGATTGTGCAACATGAATTATTTCAATGGGGCAGTAAACGTTGGCAGGCTCGGTTGATTATAGATCATGATTCGATTCACGATGAGCGATTGCCGATTGCAATCTCCCTGCTCGGTATAAATTATTAAATGACATCCTTTTACAAGTTGTATCTACCTCGGCAGTGGGTCATCTCTCTTTGAATAAGGTCTTTTAGCTACGGGGTAAAATATGTATCAGCAGTGACATTATAAACAATTCCGTGATCGTAATAGATAACGCTGAGTAACAGTTCGTTTTCATCCGTGTTACTGCGGTCGTGATGCCGGGGTCGTAACCCCGACTATATACTACTGATCATTAAATACAGCCGACGCCTTTTAGCATTGCTTCAAGCTGATCTATGTTTGAGAACGTAATAATGTTCAAAAGATGCTATATCTATAGATAAAAGCCGTGAAAGTCGATTACTAATTGATCTCATACTTATTGCTTACAGATAAACATCAGATAAAAACACATTTGTAGAAATCGATAGAAAGAAAGATAAGAAATACACACGTAACTGCGTGAGAATATCTTGTTAAGTTCAGAGAATATAAAATATCCTGAGATAGATAAAATTCAAAACTATAACCTGAATATAAAAATAAAATACATGTTGAATCTCCCAACATTTTTTCCATACTTCTCTTATTGTCATAAATTCATTTATAAATTTAGAACAAATATTTTTTATCAGAAATTAAATTTAAAAAATATTATTTTTATTCCTAATAGTTTAACATTCCATCCTAAACAACGTTTCGAGACTAGACAAGATTTTTTTTTATTTCTTTACATCATCAGATAGGGCGTTTAGATATATATCAATCTCATTGTAAACCCAAAGCCAAGAGATATATTAATGCGCGAGTTCATTAGTCTCCTACTGGATAGAGATGTGTAGAGTTTTACGAGACACACGGTTACGAACGCATCGCGTTGCCAGTTCATAAATACACGCATAACACCTTGAAGCTC